TGAGAAAAAAGTAAACTTTTTTTTATTAATTAATGTTTGTAAGACATGGATATTTGGATTACAAAGTATTTTTTAACACATCAATAAATTAGCGAGTTTTAATTAATTACAGTTATTGTTATATAAAATTTACGGGATCTTTATAAAAAAAGCTCAAAAACCCCTTTTTTTCAAACACTTACCAAAACTCCAAATACTTAAGCCGTTAGACCTGCTAAGAATAATGATTACATATTGTTTTTTTACAAAGGCGTCTGTAGAGTCACGTACATGTGAATCTTGATGTGAAGATAAAACTTATATCTATATAAATATATACAAAAGTATCGAGAAATCTGAAAATGATAAATCGTTTTCAGAAGCTTCGTATTCGTGAGCTTCTTCCAGTGTACTAGTAGCTAGTATAGGGGTTAGTAAATAATATGAGGGTGTTTTTGAATTTAGTTTTCGTCTGGAAGCGAGAAGAAGACATATTTTTAGCCCAGACTAGAAAAAAAGGCATAGTCTTCGCCTGGGACGTCGAAGGGCATAGTTTTTATCCAGGGCCAATTAGGGCATAGTGTTCATCCGGGGCGTCGATATAGAGATGCTGTTATTTTTTAACAACAATTTAATGGTTAGAAAAGAATTGAAATTTAACTTGGACATTAAATTACTTTCCAGAATAATCTGTATGAGTTACACGGTTCTTAGGATACCATAATATTTTCAGATACCTGAAAAATAATACAATTATTAGTTGTAACGAATTTATGCATTTTTGGTTATGTACGACATGAAAGAAATTGAATTGAAAAATTGAATGCGCACACATCTCTCAAAAGGTGTTAAGTGTATTAACTAAGTAATTATTTGAAATTATTTAATTATGACTAATAAAAAATATTGAAAAAAACTAAGTGTGGGTCTTGGGACCCCCGGCAGAAGTGAAACTTCCAACTTAAATATTATTAAACTTAGTCCCTATAATAGAAACTGAGAAAACTGGATTACACCTAATTTTAATAGGTCTTTAAAAATCAGGTATTAAAATAGTAAACATTTTGTTATTATTACGTATTCCAGCATGTACGTTCATAAAATACATATACTTATACATACTCCGTATGTTACATGTGTATGGAAAAATAAAATTTTTTACCAAATTATGGCTACCATAAAAGTAAAATAATCCACTATATTTGATTGAGATGAAGGAAAACAATAGATAATTGTTTATATGAATCCATGTAATATATATTTTTGCACCTCAAAAATTATTTTCTATATGTGGAATTATATTTGGCCTATCTGGCTTCTCTTTCACATTAAAGCTTGCTTACGAATAAAAAATAGAAAAAAATCAGAGTGTATGACTCGGAGTCCCCCAGTAAGAACGAAGTTCTCGTATGTATGTAGAAATCACAT